CAACCAATCGAAACACTTTCGTATCATCGTATCATCGTACAAACGGATGCATGGCACACTCCAAACACGCTTGTGCCCGTGTAATCACTTTCTGAATTTATTTGTACAAGTTAACCTTTATTTGTATCTAGTTTTATGTTCAGATAGATCTCCCCTAAATGGTACGTACCAAGTAAGTAATCAGAACAAGCTGTTTTAATTTAAATCAAATACATTTTAAAACCTATGTCGTTATGCATGTTCTATACACTAATTATTATTTTTGATATGGATCGAACCAAGCATCAATGCTTAAGCTATAAAATAATAATGTTATAGCATTAACCTGTGGAATATTTGAAATATAAGTAAAATACAAATTATATTACCTATTTGATATAAGCGTTTGCCAATTAAACTGAGGAATTTCGCATACACATGTAGCTCAATATTTGCGGAATTTCAAAAATTCCACTAAGGTAAAGCTAAAGATATCTTTGTCATCTGTGTCAAGATGTACCACAATACTCAGTACCTACTATTTTGTTAAAGGCAATACTATTTCGAAGTTGTGCATGTCGCGCCAACAATAAATTTGATTGCAGCGTAATTATACCTCGAAAATTAATTGGGTACAATTACGCTCTAAAAGCATTCATATTGCTCATCAAGCCTAGGAAGAGTTATTTGTAAATGCCACAGTAAAACAATTTTGAGTGGCCATATAAATGTGCCGATTATGCGTAAAGACCCTGGTCATATTTTCATGTCAGTCCTCTAGGTTCGGTTGATTGCGTTTACACATATGAATAAATTGTCTTGATGGCTCTCAAGGTGAGCATCGTAAAGCATCGTCTTGTCAAACATTTCGGAAGTCGAATCCTTAGTGAGGGGAAAACTGTTTAAAATTTATTCCCAATCTCCATGCTGATTTTATGCTGTACCCCATAAATCATTCAGCTTACTATTTAAGTGGATAATAGATGCAAAATCCCAGAGCGTCTCCCGAATTTCAATAAAGCCACATTGTCATGTCTCCAATTGCCAAGGGACACAGATGTGAATATTACAATCGTTAATTATAATACCAGAACTAAGCTATACATTTTGAGTGAGTTTTAGCGGTGTATACATAGGGGCATTTCAATATCCTTCTAACTAATGAATATTCTGACAAATAAAAATAGTAGCAATCTTCTAACTGAACTAAATTCTGACTAAGAAAAAAAATCGAACATTTTCGCGTCATTTCTCTAGAGGGACCACCTGAGCTTTATTGGGGAATACGGCAAAATATAAAGTATTTTGTTTATTTTTCAAATAGTGGAATACTTCGCGGATAATTTGCAGAAACTAAACCTTTAAACTATCGCTAAGTGCAGAAATCATAAGATGTAGGTATTCAGTGTGACTCCCGCCGGTCCAAGAGATTACTTGCATTGATTTGCAACTTTATCCAAATCTTTAGCCATTATTTAAAAATGTTTTGAGGTTCGTTTGGAAGACTATTGGCCAACTAGTCTTTAGGTGTGGAACGTTTGACTAATCACAAGTCCTGCGACAAGAAGAAAAATATGTTTTTCCGCATGTGGAACTCCCGGAATTCCCCGTGTGTAGTTTATTACAAGCAAATTGGCGACTGTGCGAAAATAGAAAAGCTGTTGGTAAAAGTGAAAGCTACTGCACCCACAGATGACTCCTAAACTCATACAGAATGTCGTACTCATAAGACCAGATTGCGAGTGTGTTAAGGCTGGTAGAAACCCAACACCAGGCATCCAGCACCAAATGAAGATACTACCCAATTTTTCTGTAATTTCGACCTTTTGAAGAAACTCTTATCAATTAATGTTGATGAAAGCTGCATCCCTCCTGGTGGGTTAACCTGTTAAATCTGATAAATTTTTTGAATTTATGTATATAAGAGAACTATGTAAAGTAAAGTTGAGGAAAACTTTAAAGAATGGTGGCGCATGTGCTGTAATGAGAGTATGCATGAAAACCCAGAAATTCCCTTCATTGCTATGGAAACTCAATTGACATTGTGAAACATTGCGAGTTGTTCTCATCTGAATAAAGTGGATTAGTAACGATTGATTGCAATGATATTTTTCTGAAATTGTGCAACATGACAGATACGGAGCGTACGTACCCCATTTGCTTTGTTTGGTGAAGCAAAATTTTGGGTTGAATTTTGTAGGCATATTTTTGTCTAGTTTTTTTAATTTTTACTGCTCTCACTAAATACCTACGAGTCCAGAAGAATGTCATAAATTTTGAATTTTAGCCTGATTGAAAAAAAGTCACTACCTGTTAAGATACACGGCAGGCATAAATATTCTCGACTTTCTCTTCGACTTTTTATGAAAAAATTGTAGAAGAGAACTTTTTTAATATCAAAAATTTTCGTAATTTCAAACAAAGATCGTAATTTTTCTTTTCGATTGCTTAAGTATTCCAATATGCTACCATTTAAACATGGAACAATATATTCTAATAAACTCTAACAGAACTAAAAATAAAAAACGGTACCATTATTTATCTTATGCAGATGATACAGTTATCCTCTTTAATGGATCGTCGTGGTTGGATGTTAGAACACTAGCAGAAGAAGGACTTAAAAAGATTATATGTTGGCTACAAACTTTCATTCTGACACTAAACATTGATAAAACAAATTATATAGCTTTCTCGTTTACCTCTGTAAATCGGCGACACTTTACGACGGGGGGATGGATGTATTGGGAGTCCCCCAAGTATTTGGGTATCACAATTGATAGACACCGCAAATGGGACAAACATGTAACACGACTTGCTAACCACATATGAAGACTTATTCCTAGATTTTACACTTTAAGGCAGATTTTAAGCGGACAAATCCTGCTAATAGTTTACAGGGCGTTGGGGGACTCCCTGATGAGATATGGAATTATTGTCTGGGGTGGCCTGTATGATGATTCTCTTAAACAGTTGAAAGTGGTTTAGAATTATATTCTAAAAGATATATTTGGAAAGACTAAACAGTATTCTACAGCTCTTTTGTATTATGAGGATGCTCCATATGTTAGAACTTTGTACATTTACTCTGTGTGCCTATATGGCCATACAAAGGCATCCTCTATTGAAACAGTTAATCACCCCTATAACACCAGATGGAACGTCAATAAGCACCTTATTATAACCAAACGAGTTGGGCTTGCCTCCCGTACATACATGGAGTCACGGACAGGATCGGCAAGATATTGGAGAAATACCAAGTAAAAACCATTTTCAAACCAACTCGAACCATCCAACAGACTTTGAGATCGGCCAAGGACAAACGAGATCCTTTATCAGCACCAGGAGTCTACAGTTCCGTGCAGCTGTGGAAGAGCATACATCGGCACCACAAAACGAAGCATAAACACTAGGATCACGGAGCATAAACGAAGTTGCAGATTGGGACAAACGGAAAAATCAGCAGTAGCGGAGCACGCACTACTAGACGGCCACCAAATACGCTTCGACGAAGTTGACATT